ATTTATATAATAAAATATAATTATTATAAAAAATCCTTTTTCTTGCTACACAAAAACAACGTTCTCCGCTCTCTTGTTTGACCTAAATTCGCGATTGGCGTTGCATTCAAAATTATCGAATGCACCGGGAGAGTTTCTTGAGGATGCATTTTCTAACGGGGTGCATTTTGTAACCTTTTGACCCACGTGGAGTTCGCTTGTCGTGGCGTTCTGTTCGAGCGAGCACTGTCTCTCTCTCTCCGGCGCAGGCACAAAGCATCGGGAGCATCCCCGCCGCCACTTCCGCTTTTGTTACGTCCGTATGTAACGCGCGCGCACACACACGGGCGAAAGCGCGATGCACATACACAGACAGATGCATCGTCGTCGACTTTGAACCACGTTCGATTAAGCCACATCGGCGCGCGCGCGTGCTCCATCAGATTTTTCACGCGGTCTGATTGGCTGCTGTTGCACGGGGCCGTTCGTCAAAGCGACCGCTTCGTTGACAAACTCACCCGATATATGTCGACCGCCCCCGATCGTGGTACACCCTCGCTTTTATATTGTTTCCTTAATTCCCTAGCTCGCGGCTATTTTCTAATCTCTTATTAACCGACATCGATTTTAATTAAATATACGTTAGAATTTAACACGATCTCTCACACATTCACGCTTTAATTTGACGATTAACATTATGACGGTATACATTATTTTTGTCAAACAAATAAATTTCATAAAAAATGCATTTTATTGAATGATCTCGGTAATTAAACTTTGCAATAGATTATTAAAAAGAGAGATAAATAATTTAGATGAATTTAAATTCTCCATATTTACATGTGCCTTTTGATTAAATTTTCCAATTTTCCATTTCTCTCTTTATGTATTAAATATCTAAATTAATCAATTATAAAATTTTTATATCGAAAACAATTGTGTGAATAAAAGTTGACGGAAACTTACACTTCATGAATATCTCAGCAAAAGAAATTTTTGTGAACTTTTACCAACTACTGTTTTATTAATTGTTTAGTATCTCGCAATATCTAATATATAACAAAAAAAAATATATTATTATATCACACTAATTTCGAGTATAAATAAAAATAAAACCAAAAAAGAAGATTAGAAATAATACAAGAAAGAAGATTAGTAATAATACAAATAATATAAATATGATACATATATAATATTATTGTAGTAATTTCAATATAAATATAAAAATATTTTCCACGTCATCTGATACATTTTCCAAACCTGTCAAAGTGTCTCCCTTTCCGTCACTGACGGTTTCTCGAAGTGCAAAGTGCAAAAGTAGTCGCTTGAATTATTTTCCGAAGGGTTCGTGTCGCGGCGAATGGCACGTTAATGCTTTATCACGCGGCAATGTGTAAATCGGGATGGTTTGACACAAGACTCTTGTTTGGCGCAATCCAAATTTTCACGACATATCAAGAAATCATCGTGTCAGGGAGAGAGAGAGAGAGAGAGAGAGAGAAAGAGAGTTTCTCGACTATTAAAGTTTACATAAACGGCGAAATGTATGCGAGCGCGTTAAACTCGCATATGAGATGAAGTTACAAGGGGAGTTAAAATGCGGAGATATTTCAAACTCTCTTAAATAAGGCTAAAGAATATGGATCGAATGTCAAAAATTCCGTGCAATTTTTGATATCTCGACCGATTAGATACGATACGAATTAAAACATCGTAGAATTATCGGTTAAACTGTGCTCGCTAATAAGGCCAGAAATTGAATCAATCTAAATTATGTAAAACTTGTGATAAATTATTACATCACTTAAACGCTAATTTAAAATATCGTTGGCACGTCTTGCCGTTTAATTTTCTATAGATTTAAGAATGGCACAGTCACGATGGAGATTAATTTATATTTCCATATCGCATCTCTCTTGTAATCGGTTCTCAATAATATGCGATAATTTGACAGAATCGACAACAATCGCGTTTCCTCTCTCTTTAACAAATACTAATTTGTTGCCAATTTCCAATCACATTCACAACTCTGCTAATACTCACTGTCCGCCAAATATGTAATCTTTGATTAAAACTAAATTTGAAATTACGCGCAATGCGACAACTGATCAAATCAAATAATTCGATCGCATTTATCGGGCACACATTTGGATAAATATGTCACTAGTTCGCTGGCAAATTTAATCGTCTTATTCTTAGATACAAATTTATATATGTACATATTTTAAAAATAGATATGCATATCTATATGAAAGTATTATAAAAATATATACAGTATCTTTTGGCATAATTTTTCAATATCTTGATATAACGATATATGATAAGAAAATTAATCGCATCATTAACTGTTAAATATGAATAAAAATAAATCCAAGAAATATTTCAAATGATTCAAGTCATATTAGAAAAATAATTCCGTACATAAACGAATATTAAAACAAAAATTTTTCAAAAAAGAAAATGAAGTTTACTACGTTCTGTTTATAAATTTATCTTAAGCAACATAATAATTTACCTCAATATTTCGATATCTAAAATGTCTGTACACACACTCGACAGAATCTGGTAAAATTATCGTCTCGATATAATAAATTTGTCATAATCGAAATAAATAAATCGTCTCGATTGTCGGAAAAGGGACACAAAGTGCCTCATGGCTCCTACAAGTCGATCACCGATGACTCGCGACCTTCTCTCTCTCTCTCTCTCTCTTTGTTTTCCGTTCCCAAAGCTCCGAGCAATAATGAACGCGTCAATTTTCCATCTCGTCCCATCCGCTCGCTCTTACCGCTCTTTCCTCCCTCTCTTCTTTTACCGAAGCTGTCCCTATTTTTTTTTTCGTGCCCTTTTTTTTCCAGCCTCTCGCTCCTTTCACTCGTTATCGGCCCCGCTCGCTAATGGCACACGATTGCCTTTCGCGTTTATCCAGCATTTCCGTCGCGTCCAGCGGTCTGTGGACCAGCCGCGACCTTTGCCCTCAGCGATCGTGTATGTCGGCGACACGCGCGAGCCCATCCTGACGTTTCATTTCTCGCGACGCGGATCGACATTTGCCTCCCCCGTCCTCCTCCTCTTCTCCCTGCCATCCGGTACGCCACGTTGCAAAATTAACCCTTCACGAACGGCAGTAAAGGAAGTGAATTTCGCGTTTCTCTTATTTTCTCCACGACGTTTGTTCTCGATCCGTTTTGTCAGATCGTGTTCGAGGGTACTCGACTACTACTCTCCCTTTCCACTCTGGAGCGAGGTTTCGTGTTCTTTGTGCGAGAAATACTAACGGAAATAATTTTATTTATTTAAATAGAAAGAGGGAAGGAGAGCGAGACACGCGTGTGTCTCAAAAGGATTAAATCCTTGAATCAACTCGAGAGGTTTTAAAGATTCAATAAAAGGACGCGTGAACGAGAATGTATCTTAAATATATTACATTTCTCTAGCTCGATATCACGTCGCCATCGCGGGAAAATGGACGCGAGATAGTGAGCGGGACCGTGACAATCCCTCTTTTTTTTTTTAAATTTACATAATTGAAGAGATGGAGGAGGAGGTGGTGGTGGAGGAGAGAGCGACGCGAAAAGTCGCGATTCATTTCCAATTTCGAACTAATTTTACGGTCAAATTGAAAACGACGCAGTGTCGTTATTATTATAACCGAAAGAGCGCCGCTTATCGATCGGCAAGGGCCATTAAACTCGAAACGACAAAATATAGTTATTTCATAGATGAATGGAGGGCTATTGCGTTCGAATAGCTATTAACAATTTGGTGCGGCCTGGTGATCAATTATTATAGTATATTCATTTCTGTATATATGTGTATGTGTGTATGCGCGAGCGCATATGTGTACGTGGGCGCTGCAATTTAGGTCCGCGAGCACTTTTTTTTATTTCCAACGTCGCGTTTAATGCCAAGTCAACGATTCTCTTCTCTCGTATCGGTTACTTGCAAATTAATAGAAAAGCCGTCAGCTTCCTTAATTTGATTATAATACACGCCGCGCGCTCGAGCGGTTGAAAAGCATGAATAAAATTGGTCATCGCCGATGCCGGGGAACCTATATTTGCCGCGCGTCGTTGAGGATCGGAATCGCGGTTGAATAACCCAGATCTACCTTAATTTCGCCGGCTATATAATAATAATGGACCGCGCGACGGACGGGGAGGAGACGCGCGCGGGGATCGTCGAGATTTTTCTCTCGCGCACGTATAGAGAATTATCATCCTTCTCTTTCGGATCGCCGTCGCGATCATCGAGGGATGAAAATTTGATTCGCGACCGACTAATCAAGTCGCTTACACAACGCCACACACACACACACACACACACACACACACCGACACATTTCATTCAGATCGCAAATAAAACGCCATCGAGATAAAGGTATATATACATACATGTACATACCGTATTGTTATATCACTGGCAACAATGAAACAACATTATTATTCTATTCCTATGCAGAAAGACAAAACACAAGAAATTTACTCACTCGAAGGGACCCTCGTCTCCCTGAATTTCGTCGAATTCCGGAAGGCGCGGATCCTTTAAGGATCCCACGGATCCTCGTATCCGAGACTCGGAGGTTCTCGCCAGCCTCGGAGTCCCAGGATCAACGAGATCCATCGCATCCACCCCCCCCCCTTTATCGCCCCATGCGAAAGAGAGAATGCGCATATGTGACACTTGCATCCGACCCCTTGCCCTTTTCGTATAACCCCTTAGTGATATGTATGATTTTTACCAAACCAGCCAGTAGCTAAGAATTTAAGTTTGGGATTCGTGTGATGCTACTCAGTTCCTTTCTATCTTAATGACTTGTGTACATGCTACATTACGTAAACCTATATATTCCTTTAATGTGTATCTGTCTTGAGCGCGGAAACGCAAAGTGAGAGAAGAGGCGGCAACGACCTGCCAAAAAAAAAGAAAAAAAAAAGAGAAAAAAAAATAGAAAGGAAGAGGTCGTGCGACATCCAGCCATGTTCCCATTGACTAACATCGGTCTTTTTTTCTGCTTTCAGCTGCACAGATTCCACAACGCGGAAGTAAGTACGATTAAATTACGTTTGAAAAAAAAAGAGAAAAAATCGCAACACTACTTCTCATCCTCACCCTGCATCTCCTTCCACCCTTCATCTCTTCACCCTGTTACTTTGCACCATTTCGCTCCGTAATCGCGATTATCGTCGATCGGATCGTTTTAGGGGGCATATAAGCGAGGATGTGCAAAAATATTGAGAATTTCAATACGGCATGCCTTTCTGTCTTGTGAATGAACGTAAAAAAGCGCGGGTTTAAGGACTTGATTAAGCGATCGACGTAACGCGATTTCGATAATAGCGCGCTTCGGTTTTTATAATTGTAATTATTTCCAATTAATCCTGATCCTTAAATTTTAAGGAGTAAAAGAATAGCAAAAGCAATTAATTTCTTATTATTATTAAACATTATTATTTTTTTTTTTTTAATTTTTTATCTCTTTCATTCTAAAATTATTGCTCAAGATTTTCGATAATTTGGAATATTTAATGCTGGACTCTTAATATTAGTCTTCGAATTTTTAGACTTGTGTGTTCTTATTTTCAAAGTTTAGATTTTTTTGGATTATTGGCTAAGCTTCTCGAATCTAAGAATTTTTATCAATTTTCATCTCATAACGAATAATTTACATTTAATTGATACAAAAATTATTTTGTTCCCTTAGATTTTTAGATTTATAAATCTTAAATTTTTTCGAAATTTAGATTATCCGGATTGTTGGATACTTTGATTTTAGAATCCAAGCATCTAAAATCCATCAATTCTCTCATCTAATCTCTGTAATCTGCATTTAATTGAAAAGACTACTTTGCCATGTGGAAATATCATTAGGAAGCGACCGAAGCTAGATGCTATTATCAATTCCAGCGCATAATTATCTCTCATCTTCTCTACGGAGACTCGGGAACTTTTAATACGGTCGATTCTAAATATCAGCACGCGATAATAAATGAGAATGTGAGAGTTTCGTATTCGCACGTTTTTCGAAGCGCGCGTATGAGATCAAACGTATATATATACATATATATCATTCGCGGCTCCTCATGGATTCTTCTAATTCCAGCATGCAAGAGGAAAGACGAGATGGCGAACCAGGCAGAACACCAACAGCCCGCCCCCAAGAAACCGCGGCTGGTTTTCACAGACCTTCAGCGCCGTACTCTACAGGCTATTTTTAAAGTGAGTACCCACACAAACACACACACACACACACATACACACAATACGTAACTTCTTACCCTCTTGTGATCGATAGTAATTGCCCTCTTCCCCCCTCGATGTGCACAGGCAAATGAATATTGAGAGAAGCCGCTACCGCTGCTTGTTAGCAGCGGCTAACTTTCGCGGTCGAAAGTGCATATTGCACACACACACATATACTACTTCAAACTTGCACTCATCGTATTCGAATCGCGAGGAGACACCTGTCCACCGATCGACAAGCGTTTTCTTAAAAGACAGATTCTATTCTAATGCTCCGAATAAACCTTGTACAGGAAATGTATACATAAATAATGTATAATTATACATTTTTAGATATCCCATGCTTTTCAAAAAAAAAAATAAAAAATAACTTATGGATAAATCTAATATAAGATGCTATTTGGATTTTCTAACATTAAATTTTGAAACTTGCGAGAATAATAAAACGGCACTTTTGAAAACATGACAAATCAAAATGTAAAATGCATTAAAAGATCTAAAATTTTTACCTAAAATATTTTTGGCATTTATTGGGAAAAAACCAATTTTAAATAAATATATTAAAAATTTGAGAGATTGAACATATATAAAAATATATGTTTCTTAAATTTTAATGTCTAACAATATATTTCAAAGAGAAACAAAACTCCATGATACGCTTAAAGACAGTATCAGGTCTGTAAAAAAAATTGACAAAACTTTTAAATAAGATGTTGTTAGTCGTTATGTTACCTATTAGGATAATATTACATTTGTCAGACGACAAATTTTTTAAGTGCATTGATTAGCTAATTCCTAGAGACTCAAGAAATTTTCTATTTCGCAGCCAATCAGTATGCTTAAAAAAAGTTCGTCGTACGACAAATATAATATCACATATAGCCTTGAAGATAAGTAGAAAAATAAATTACTAGAGCAGCGCGCGCGCGCGCGCGTGTATGTGTACAGCCTATTATTTTTAATTTAAAAAGAAGTCAACGAAGAGGGTCTTTCGGAGAATGCCTCTCGCGGGAGGCCGTGTTTTCACGTGGAGAAAAACATGTTCCCTCCGCGGTGTAATGAGTGTTCAAGGGTGTTTTGCTTTCACGGCAGTTACGATACAGGATCATTATTTTTTCCACACACATGCGTCAATGTGTCAAGATGTCCTTAAATTACCTTACTTAAAGAGCCATTGAGGTATTGCTTAATAGATGTATCGTTTGGCCGACGATATTGAAGTATTGAAAGATAACGTGATGATATTTTCAATCCGCCAAATGCGAGCAAACGATCGAATACGATATGTAAAGAAGTCAACGGAGAGGGTCTTTCGGAGAATGCCTCTCGCGGGAGGCCGTGTTTTCACGTGGAGAAAAACATGTTCCCTCCGCGGTGCCCTATAGATACCTGAAATTCAGTTGCGCGAGTCAACCGACAGCGCGTACTCCGCGCGACTATCGATCGGTCTTGAATAATTTCGCGGCCGTTTCTTTACTTATGCGCTTCGTATTCCAGCCCGCTGATTGTAACGCCGTTGCCCGTCGCTGCATTTCAAGAATGGCCATTGATATTATCTGTTTCCTCTCATTAACGTCCGTGTAAAAAATTAGCGCTGCCGCGAACGCGTGTTCTTTTTTTTTTTACCTTTTGTTTCCGAATGTTGTCGTAATCATGTTACTCGATAACGACGTTGGCACGAATAAAATAATATGTCGACAAACTTGAACATTTTTAGAATGTGACGGCACCGCAAAAACAGTATTTATTAAATAGAATAAGATACAATGTCGCCAGAGATTAGTCAAGGGAATTCCAACGTGTAAAGTGTAACAATAAATTACAAAAGAACTGGATTTATGTATGAAAGTCTCTCTCTTTCTCTCTCTTCCGAGCTTTATAAATTTATTTATATTAATCGGGCTACATCGATTACATCCACGGCTATTACAACTATGATTACAATCGGCGCGGACGCATCGCGAAACAATGAAATGTGATAACTCGTTTCCGATGGCGATAAATTATCGTATAAATAGCCCGGCACGCGCGCGCTTTTGCGAAATTGCCTTTTCTGCGAAATCAACTTTTCTGCTTTGTCGCAAAACCGATTGCCTTTAGATCGAATAGAATTTTTTTTCGCGATTCGAGGAGGGGGGGGGGGGGGGATGGATGCGACGCACGGGGTATTACTCTTAATGATCAATTTTTTCGGCACGCGCGTGCGTTTGTCGTTCATATCAAATGTGATAAATCCCGACGAATCGTTCGATTGGTCGGATTATTGATGCGATATTTCATTCGGACGGTAATTCAGAGAATACGATTTGCAGAATATAGTGCGAGAATCTCGCGCGGTGCCCACATTTATTCCGGCGTTCTATTTCGTGAACATTTCGGTTAAAGTCAATTAGCGCGCGAGCGAAAGAATGGCTTGATCAGATTAATTCAATCAGAAGCAGCGATGCTTCGATCAGTCTCATTAAGGAGTCGCGGATAAATGGCACACTCTAAAACTTGCCATTACATGCAAAATGCTCGACTGAAATAAGCAAGTAAATTCACTAAATCAAATATATGGTAATTTGTTAATATCGTAAATCAAATTTAATTAAAAATTAGTCATCTATATCGTGTGTGCTTATAAACCTAGAAATATATAGCCTTTTAAATAAAGATCTGTAGCATTTAAGAATTTAAAAATGTTTTTTTAAATCGAATGAAGAAATAAATGTATAATCCTTGACGTTACTTGACAATAATATGGCGTCAAATGCGAGTATGGTTGAGAACTATTCCAAACAGCTGAGGAAACCATGCACGGCGACAATCACGCCAAGCCCGACGACTAAGGATCTTCGTGAAGCAAGTGCGATGAGCGACATTAGCTGTAGCCATATAGGCGGATATTTCGTCTTTAGAACAGGAGCGCCGAATGATCGGCGCATTTTAATCCTCGCAATATCGGGACCCACTTTAACGAGATTCAACGTTTTACTCGCGTTTTATCGCGATCGTGCTTCGCGTGTGATCGCGAAGAGAAATAAAAACAAAGTCTCTGCTCGAGTTCCTGGACGGACGCCAAATAGTTTGCGAATTGACCTTAGCCCACTTTACTCGTACGTTCCAAATCGCGCGCAATCTTTCCCGCACGATTGTCGAATCATTCCTCGTTTGCGTGCTTGTATTCCAGCAAATTAATCCTCGTAAAAGAGAGAGAGAGAGATAAAAGAGAGTATCTTTAACTTAAAGATTCAAAGGAAAGGTGTTTGAAAAAAAAAAAACAGCATCACTAGATAAGGGGATTTAAAAATACATCTCAACGAGTATGATAATGTAAAAATAATCATTTTACATTAACCGATTAGTATCTAATATTTTACAGATTGAAATAGAAATATTTTAATTTATATATAAAAAAAAGTAGAGAGAGAAATCATATATATCGAACATAAATATTTAAAAATGAAATCGCATAAGACTCATGAAAATTTGGATTTTTTATGTAATGCTGAAATGATACGAAATTTTTTTAAAGATTCCTTGGAATCTGTTGAAATGTCCCTAAATTTTACCGCGATTATGTATAATTTATATAAAAATATATTCTTAACATTTTAATAATAAGTTATAACAGATATTCTATATATATATATATATATATATTA